GGTTGCTGTGAGCTAGGCTGACGCCACGGCACTCACTCTAGCCCGGGCAAAAGAGTGAGACTCTGTCTCAAAAAAAAAAAAAAGATCACCACCTTTGCCTCAGGCTGCTGCTACACCCCACACCCTGGCCTTCTTCTTCTGCCCTCAGGAAGCCCCTGTGACCCCATTGTGCCCTCCTCTTAATGACCTCCACCCCGTACTTCCCTAAGTTGGTGGCCTCAACCCTTGCCCTCACCAGTTACTGCGTCCCTGCCTTATGGGAACACCCTCTCCCATCCGCTCCTCCATGATCATACTCCCCACCCCCCACTTCCCATGGAGTCCTCTGCAGTGAGCCCAGCAGCGTCCTGCTGCTGCCCAGTGGCTTCTGACACAGCTTTCATCCTCCCCTCTCCCAGGTTTTGGTTCTTTCGTCGATAAAACAGTGCTTCCCTTTGTGAGCACAGTGCCCTCCAAGCTGCGCCACCCCTGCCCCAGCCGGGTGGAGCGCTGCCAGTCGCCCTTCAGCTTTCACCACGTGCTGTCCCTGACGGGGGATGCCCAGGCCTTTGAGCGGGAGGTGGGGCGACAGAGTGTGTCTGGCAATCTGGACTCACCTGAAGGTGGCTTCGATGCCATTCTGCAGGCTGCACTCTGCCAGGTGAGGAGGTGGGTCTGGGCTCTGAGCCTGAAGGACTGTCTGGGAACAGGACTGCCCACTCTGCTTGTGTACTGCACAGTTCTAGGGGGTGACATTCATACCATAGTCATTGTAGTTTGCGTATTTATTTTAACAATTACTTGGTGGACTGGAGTAAAATATCTTGAGGAAGATGCATGTTTTTCTAATTCACAAGAAGGCCTCCCTCCACTAGCAGTGGCCTTGGTTTGGGAGCTGGGGAGAGCAGCGAGAGGCAAGGAGATAGAGGCAAGGGGAAGGATAAACTGATTCAGGGAGGGGCTGGCTGAATCCTTGGCTCATAGAGCTGGGTGGCTCAAGGTCCATGCCCTGGTATACAGCTTACTCCCTGCCCCCACTGCACCCCAGGAGCAGATTGGTTGGAGAAATGTGTCCCGGCTGCTGGTGTTCACTTCAGATGACACATTCCACACAGCTGGGGATGGGAAGTTGGGTGGCATTTTCATGCCCAGTGATGGACACTGCCACTTGGACAGCAATGGCCTCTACAGTCGCAGCCCAGAGTTTGTGAGTCCCCACTCTCACCCTGCCCCTTCCCATCTAAGCCATCCCTCCTCTCCTTTGAAGACCCCTACCCCTCACTGGTGACCACCCTGTAGATAGCTTGCTGTCTTCTCCAGCAGTTCTTCCTCCCCATGTCCCCCCAGCTGCTCAGACAGGAAACCTGTGTCACCCCAGTCCCTACTTCCTCTCTACTCCTTACCAAGCCTCCAGGGCTCCTCCAGCTGGTGGCACCTGGTTCTTGGATTCCCTGGGTGGAGGGACCTTGCATGCTGTGGGGAAAATCTGGGGTGCTCACCTTGTTCCTGCTTCCTCCCCCAGGACTACCCATCTGTGGGTCAGGTAGCCCAGGCCCTCTCTGCAGCAAACATCCAACCCATCTTTGCTGTCACCAGTGCCACACTGCCTGTCTACCAGGTGAGAGCTAGCTACATGTCAGACCCCCTAGTCCCACCCCAGCCTTTCTCAATTCCCCCAAAGATCCATTCTCCGCCCCCCATATACCTTCCCTTCCAGACCCCCAGGAGCCCATTTTCCTAGAGCTGTGACCCACCATTTCCCTCAACTCCCCGTAACTCAGGAGCTGAGTAAGCTGATTCCTAAGTCTGCAGTGGGGGAGCTGAGCGAGGACTCCAGCAATGTGGTACAGCTCATCATGGACGCTTACAATGTGAGGGGCCAGAGTGGGGGAACAGTGGCGAGGGTGGGCACTGGGGAGAGGTGGAAGGGGATACTCAGGTGGGGTGGCAGAGCTAAGAAGGAACGAGCTATGGTCTCACATTCCACAGCTCCTACCTAAAACTTGCATGTGGCTGTCATTAACGGTTCACTCACTTAATCTCACATTCACAAATCTTTTTTTTTTTTTTGAGACAGAGTCTCACTCTCTTGCCTAGGCTAGAGTGCTGTAGTGTCAGCCTAGCTCACAGCAACTCAAACTCCTGGGCTCAAGCGATCCTCCTGCCTCCCGAGTAGGTGGGACTACTGGAATGGGCCACCATGCCCGGCTAATTTTTTCTATTTTTAGTTGTCCAGATAATTTCTTTTCTATTTTTAGTAGAGACAGGGTCTTGCTCTTGCTCAGGCTGGTCTCAAACTGCTGAGCTCAAGCACTCCTCCCGACTCGGCCTCCCAGAGTGCTAGGATTACAGGTGTGAGCCACTGTACCCAGCCCTTTCAGTTAATCTTTGTATATAGTGTGAAGTAAGGGTCCAACTTCATTCTTTTGCATGTGGATATCTAGTATTCCCCACAACATTTGTTGAAGACTGTTCTTTTCCCATTGAATGGTTTGGCACCATTGTTGAAAATTAGTTGACCACAGATGGATGTTTATTTCTCAATTCTATTCCACTGATCTATATATCTGTCCTTATGCCAGTACCACACTGTCTTGGCTACTGTAGCTTTGTAGTAAGTTTTGAAATTGGGAAGTGTGAGTCCTCCAACTTCATTCTTTTTCAAGATTGTTTGGCTATTTGGAATGCCATGCAATTCCATATGAATTTTAGGATCAGCTGTTCCATTTCTGCAAAAACGGCCATTAGGATTTAACTTTTTGACTTTTGAAGCGTGGTAATAGATTACCTATTCAATTTTTTAATTAATAAGTTTTTTTTTGTTTTGTTTTGTTTTTTTTGAGACAGGGTCTCACTCTGTCACCAGGGCTAGGGTGTAGTGGCATCAAATAAGTTTTTTAAAATTAGGAATTTGCCTGATCTTCCTAGAGGTCATTCCAGGAATTACCCTGCCTCCACCCTAGATTGCTTTCTCTAATATAGACTCTGTTTGTGCAAAGTACAGGAAAGAGAAAATCTTTACTAACACTGGCCTTCCTTCCTCCCTTATCCCAGACCTGTAGAGAGTTCTTCCTGTGGCCTAATGTTCATTCCTCTTGCTACCATGTCAACCAAGTAGAATTACCCTTCCTGGACTCTTTCACACACTCCCTCATCTGCTCCAGCCTTCCTTCCTCTCATTCCTACTCACTGGCCCTCTTCCCTCATTTAGAATCCAAGATCATGAACACTGCAATGCCTGTCAGATTATTTATTCAACTCCTTCACTTTACAGATGTGGAAACTAAGGCCCAGAGAGAAAGTCTGACTTGCCACACAGCCAGTGAGTGACTGCGGCAGGAACAGAATCCAGCCCATTTCCTGTTTGGTTCTCCCACCACTACAGCTTGGAAGTTGGTGAATAGATGTGGGTGTAGACCTTAGTGGCTCCAGGCCCAGTCCCCAGACCCTTTGTCAGGCCATTTTGCTCACTCTGGCCCCATGAGATATGTACACAGGAAGGACAGATCTTCTCTGAGGCCCCTACCCCAGCCTGGTACCTGCCCCTTCCCACCCTTTTGAAGAAATTGCTGAATGCACAGGAGAAGTGAAACTATGAGGGGAGATAAAGAATTGGGGTAGAGGGCCAGGCGTGGTAGCTCACGCTTGTAATCCTAGCACTCTGGGAAGCTGAGGTGGGATGATCCCTTGAGCTCAGGAGTTTTAAGACCAGCCTAAGCAAGAGCGAGTAGTCCCATCTACTTGGGAGCCTAAGGCAGGAGGATTGCTGGAGCCCAGGAGTTTGAGGTTGCAGTGAGCTATGATGATGCCACTGCACTCTAGCCCAGGCTACAGAGCAAGATTCAGTCTCAAAAAAAAAAAAAAAGAAAAGAATTGGGGTAGAGTTTTGAGAATGGCAACCGCAAGCTAAGTTTAGATGACTGAGAGCTTGGGGTATTTCCTGAGGACCCACATGTCCTCTTTTATATCCTATTACAGGCCATGGTGGCTTTGTCAATGGTCCTTGTTTTCCTGCTGGCCCTGAGCAGTGGTGAGTGTGAGTGGGATGCCAAGATCCCATCTCCAGCGGAGGCTATGGAATGGAGGGATCCTGATCTGTCCCTCCCGGGGTCATGCCAGCCAGCCCCTTCCTGCCAGAAGTGCATCCTCTCACACCCCAGCTGTGCATGGTGCAAGCAACTGGTAAAGATGGGCCTGTGGCCTTTGAACCATATGTATGTGTATGTGCAGCCAAGATGTATGTGTGTGATTGTGTGGGCAAATGTATGATTTTCTGAGTACACTCCACAGTCTCATGTGTGACTGAGTTTGTGCACATGGGACTCCTATATGTGATTATATGTGTGTGTGTCACGTGGATGAAAGTTTCCTGTGCATGTATGATTATGTCTGTATCTGTTTGTGTATAAATGGAGAGGACTTGTGACCATAAATTGGGAAGAAGTATGTGCTTGTGGAAATTCATGCTTGTGTATAGGTAGAGGGAACTGTTGTACATGTATGAACCGCCGTGACAGAATACCGTAGACTGGGTGGCTTAAGCAACAAAAATTTCTTTCTCGTAATTCTGGAGGCTGGGAAGTCGAAGATCAAAATACTGGCTGATTTGGTTCTCTGGTGTGAGGGCTCTCTTCCTGGCTTGCAGACAGGCTACCTTCTTGCTATATCCTCATATAGTGGAGAGAGAGAGAGAACAAACTCTCTGCTGTCTCTTCTTGTAGGGGCACAAATTCCATCATGAGGGTTCTACCCTTATGACCTCATCTAAGCCTAATTACCTCCCAAGGGCCCCATCTCCAAATACTATCACATTGAGGGTTAGGGCTTTGATGTAAGAATTTGTTGGGGGCAGGGGCGACAGAGTTCAGTCCACAGCAGAAAGTGTGTGATTGGGTTTCTGAATCTGTGTTTGAAGGTGGGGGTATTATGTTCCTGGGTGTGTAGCAGCCTGTGACTGGGCAGGTAAAAGGGAAGGAGTTGGAAGCCTGTGGGCTTGAGGTGGGAGTGGGAAGGCTTGAGCTATCTAAGTGGCCAAGAGGGATGCTGGGGAGTAGTCACCTCCCCGGCTGTTGTTTGTTTATGCTTTAAAGAGACAGGCCTCACAGAATGGCAGAGCACGAGGGACGCCCGAGCTGGAGGTGGGCAGAGCTGTCTCTGTTACAAGAAGATGGAGATTAGATCAGCACAGGCCCCTAGACAAGAGCTAAGGGCAAATTCATGCAGAAGAGGAGTTACGGATGCTGAGAGGGTCAAGAGAAAGGCACATGGTGAATCTGGGAGGACAGGAAGGGTAGACTCCAAATCTGGGGTAGGTGAGAGGCAGGAGTGCAAGTCTGGAGCTGGGGAGCTGGGCCTCTTGGGACAGTTGGGTCTGTGTCTGCCTCTTCCAATCTCCAGTTTAGGGGCTGTCACCAGGGCCAGCTGAGAAGCAGCTGTAACCATTTCTTTCCCCTGTGGTCACGGTTACCAGTTAGGGGTAAGGTGTCATCTTCTTTTCTGTTCCTATCCTTTCCTTTCCCAGAAACTGTGGATCTTAGTCTGACCCCCTTCACATTTTAGTCTGAGCATGCAGGGGGGTTGGACTAGGAGGCTAGGCTCCCCCACTTTTTTGTGGTAGTGAGGTCCCTGACATCTCAACAGGAAGTCTGTGGCTCTAGGGGGAGGCGAAGGGTGGGTGGCTGGGGAAAAGGGGACTTGAGATAAGGGGAGGGGAGGGGGGACTTCTATATGAAGTGGGAGCTCTGACAAGGAAGAAAGGACATAGTTTAGGGGTAGCTTGATGAGGAGGGCAGGGAATCAGAAGAGCTCAGGGGATTGACTTGGGGTGGGAGGGATTAGAGGTGGCCAGGTTCGCAGGGTGGTTGTGGGAGCGGAGCTGCGGGGCCCGTGACCGGGGTCCCGACGCGCCTCCCCTTGCGGAGCAGAACTTCACGGCGTCGGGGGAGGCGGAGGCGCGGCGCTGCGGCCGGCGAGAGGAGCTGCTGGCTCGCGGCTGCCCGCCGGAGGAGTTGGAAGAGCCCCGCGGCCGGCAGGAGGTGCTGCAGGACGAGCCGCTCCGCCAGGGCTTCCGCGGAGAGGGGGCCACCCAGCTGGCGCCGCAGCGGGTCCGGGTCACGCTGCGGCCGGGTGAGTTAGGGGAGATGGGGCCCAGGCAGAGGTCTAGACTGGGATTCGAATGCGCTTCGTTGACCTGCGCCCGCCACCCACCCGCCAGGGGAGCCCCAGCAGCTCCAGGTCCGCTTCCTTCGTGCCGCGGGATACCCAGTGGACCTGTACTACCTTATGGACCTGAGCTACTCCATGAAGGATGACCTGGAACGCGTGCGCCAGCTCGGGCACGCCCTGCTGGTCCGGCTGCAGGAGGTCACCCATTCCGTGCGCATTGGTGAGCGGAGCGCTGCCCCCAACCCTGTCAGCCTTTGCCTGTGCCTCTAGCTTCAGCCACCGCCTTAGCCTCTGCCAATCTCCCGGACTCAGAAAGGCCCCAACCTGTCCTTTCCCAGTTGTTAACAGACCTGGCCAGGCCACAGGCTCCTGCATCTCTCCCCAGACACTCTTCTTCTAGGTCAGAGCTGGAGGACACTTAAGAGACTGTCCAGTAGGACCCCTCATTTTCCGGGAGGTCTAACCGAGTCTGGAGAGACTATTCAGATACCTTCCCAGGGTCAGACAGCTGCCTTGCACCTACCAACCTGGAAACTGTCCTGATGCCAGTGTCTCTCGGACAAAGCCTAGATGCCACAGTCCCTGGCCCCGAATTCTGTGCCATCTCTCCTCTGTTCAAGATCACCACCTTGGCCGGGCGTGGTGGCTCACGCCTGTAATCCTAGCACTCTGGGAGGCCTAGGTGGGCGGATTGTTTGAGCTCAGGAGTTCGAAACCAGCCTGAGCAAGAGCGAGACCCTGTCTCTACTAAAAAATTAGAGAAATTAATTGGACAATTAAATATATATAGAAAAAATTAGCCGGGCATGGTGGCGCATGCCTGTAGTCCCAGCTACTCGGGAGGCTGAGGCAGGAGGATCGCTTGAGCCCAGAAGTTTGAGGTTGCTGTGAGCTAGGCTGACGCCACGGCACTCACTCTAGCCCGGGCAAAAGAGTGAGACTCTGTCTCAAAAAAAAAAAAAAGATCACCACCTTTGCCTCAGGCTGCTGCTACACCCCACACCCTGGCCTTCTTCTTCTGCCCTCAGGAAGCCCCTGTGACCCCATTGTGCCCTCCTCTTAATGACCTCCACCCCGTACTTCCCTAAGTTGGTGGCCTCAACCCTTGCCCTCACCAGTTACTGCGTCCCTGCCTTATGGGAACACCCTCTCCCATCCGCTCCTCCATGATCATACTCCCCACCCCCCACTTCCCATGGAGTCCTCTGCAGTGAGCCCAGCAGCGTCCTGCTGCTGCCCAGTGGCTTCTGACACAGCTTTCATCCTCCCCTCTCCCAGGTTTTGGTTCTTTCGTCGATAAAACAGTGCTTCCCTTTGTGAGCACAGTGCCCTCCAAGCTGCGCCACCCCTGCCCCAGCCGGGTGGAGCGCTGCCAGTCGCCCTTCAGCTTTCACCACGTGCTGTCCCTGACGGGGGATGCCCAGGCCTTTGAGCGGGAGGTGGGGCGACAGAGTGTGTCTGGCAATCTGGACTCACCTGAAGGTGGCTTCGATGCCATTCTGCAGGCTGCACTCTGCCAGGTGAGGAGGTGGGTCTGGGCTCTGAGCCTGAAGGACTGTCTGGGAACAGGACTGCCCACTCTGCTTGTGTACTGCACAGTTCTAGGGGGTGACATTCATACCATAGTCATTGTAGTTTGCGTATTTATTTTAACAATTACTTGGTGGACTGGAGTAAAATATCTTGAGGAAGATGCATGTTTTTCTAATTCACAAGAAGGCCTCCCTCCACTAGCAGTGGCCTTGGTTTGGGAGCTGGGGAGAGCAGCGAGAGGCAAGGAGATAGAGGCAAGGGGAAGGATAAACTGATTCAGGGAGGGGCTGGCTGAATCCTTGGCTCATAGAGCTGGGTGGCTCAAGGTCCATGCCCTGGTATACAGCTTACTCCCTGCCCCCACTGCACCCCAGGAGCAGATTGGTTGGAGAAATGTGTCCCGGCTGCTGGTGTTCACTTCAGATGACACATTCCACACAGCTGGGGATGGGAAGTTGGGTGGCATTTTCATGCCCAGTGATGGACACTGCCACTTGGACAGCAATGGCCTCTACAGTCGCAGCCCAGAGTTTGTGAGTCCCCACTCTCACCCTGCCCCTTCCCATCTAAGCCATCCCTCCTCTCCTTTGAAGACCCCTACCCCTCACTGGTGACCACCCTGTAGATAGCTTGCTGTCTTCTCCAGCAGTTCTTCCTCCCCATGTCCCCCCAGCTGCTCAGACAGGAAACCTGTGTCACCCCAGTCCCTACTTCCTCTCTACTCCTTACCAAGCCTCCAGGGCTCCTCCAGCTGGTGGCACCTGGTTCTTGGATTCCCTGGGTGGAGGGACCTTGCATGCTGTGGGGAAAATCTGGGGTGCTCACCTTGTTCCTGCTTCCTCCCCCAGGACTACCCATCTGTGGGTCAGGTAGCCCAGGCCCTCTCTGCAGC